CGTGGTTATGGTGGAGTTGCCATACTCTGGAGAGAAAATATCAAACATTTAATAGAGAAACTGGAGGAGGGCAATGAGAGAATCGTCTGTGTGAAAGTGGATGTGTCTCCAAAACCCTTCATCTTGATATGTGTATACATGCCTTGCAGAGGTTCCAAGTACGTTAACAATGAGTTCAATGATATATTGGACCAATTAAGAGAAATAATTCATAAGTACTCCCCAAGGTATCAATTTGTCCTGTGTGGTGACTGGAACTGTGATATATCTAGTAGATGCCAAAATATCAAATTGACAGAACGGCAGGATGCCCTGAGGAAATTTCTCCAAGAGACACATCTTACTTTCAATGAGACCGATGTAACCTTTATACATCCAAATGGCCAAGAAGTCTCCACAATTGATTATATCTTCAGGAGCAATGATATAGATCCAGGACTATATCCCACAAAACGCCTAGATATGTTACCTTCAAATACTTCAGATCACCACCCCATCCATACAATGATACAATGTCATTTCGAATCAAAAACTAAAAAAAGAGAGAAAAATCAGTATCCATCAAAGGTAAATTGGTCTAAAATAGATTTGGGAAAGTATCAAACAGAAATTACAAATAAAATCAATGAGCTGGAAGCTAAAGAAAAAATATTGGACGTCAAAGATCTCATCCATGCTTTAACTATAGTGCAAGAAAAATTTGCCAAAAAGTCCAAACCTAACAAACAGAAAAATACTCACATTTGGAACGATGAGATAGCTCTTGCACTATTAAACAACAAAATAGCCTTATTTGAATGGAAAGAGGATGGAAAACCAAAATCTGGTAAAAGTGCAACTCATAGAAAAAACACTAGATCTGAACTCCGTAGAGCAAGGCGGCATGAGATTGCTAGACAGAGGGACGAGAAGTATGCTGAAATTATGAATACTCGGTCCAGTAACACCAAATCATTTTACAAGTTAATAAATAATCAGCGCAAGCAAGGAAAGTCCTCTATAACTGAACTTACAGTACAAGGGAAAGTTTATGACAATTCAGCAGAAGAAATAATAAAGGGGTGGAATGAACATTTCGCAAATCTGGCTACACCTGCTGCTACTCCTGAGGATGACTATATCAACAGGGAGGCAGACATTGATGTCATAATGGAATCCTGTCTTGATGACGCAACTCCGATTTCTTTTACAGTTTTAGAAGTTCAGAATGCCATTAACAAATTAAATAAAAATAAAGCTCCTGATATTTATGGAATTACAGCGGAACACTTCATCCATGGTGGACCAGACCTGGTTGGTGCATTGACAAAAATAATTAATAACATCTGTATATCATGTGCTATCCCAGATTATATCAAGATGGGAATTTTATCACCAATTTTCAAAAAGAAAGGTTTACCCACAGATCCTAAAAACTACAGAGGAATTACAGTTCTTCCTGTTATTGGCAAAATCCTAGAGATACTCCTTAAGGAACACCTATGGCAAATTATTGCAACCATCCAAAACCAATTTCAGAGAGGATTTACGTCTAAAATATCACCATTATTTTGCGCCCTTCTACTTAATGAAGTGATTATCGATGCAGTATACAGGAAAACACCTTTATATGTAGCTCTGCTTGATGCAAAATCAGCCTTTGACGTCGTTAACCACAGTAGTTTATATAGAAAGTTATACCTAGCAGGGATCTCTGGCTCATTATGGTTACTTTTGCATGATCTAAGTGTTGGTGCACAAACCTCAGGTCGGTGGGAAAATCTGGTCTCTGAACCCTTCGATATTAAGCAAGGAGTTAGGCAGGGTGGAATACTAAGCACAGAATTATACAAACTATATATAAATGACATTCTTAACCAAGTAGAGGACAGTACACTGGGATCCTATATTGGACATATTCACTGTCCTATACCAACTTGTGCAGATGATGTCACTCTGGTCGTAAATGATCCTACCAATATGCAAACCCTTTTAACAACCGTGGAGAATTACAGTCAACAGGAGAAATATTCATTACAGCCTACAAAATGTAAAATTATTAAAACTGGGAAACCAAAATTAGAGGATAACTTCAATTTCACTTTAAATGATACACCTATTCAAAATGCTGAAACTGCTGTACATTTAGGAATTACTCACAGCAGTAACCCGCGGCAAACCATCCCAATCCATATCCAGGAAAACATCAACAAAGCCAGGAGAACAATGTACAGTTTGATGGGGACAGGCCTGCATGGCAAGAACGGCCTTAATCCAGTAGCATGCCTACAATTATTCCAAGTTTATGTGCTACCAGTACTCATTTATGGCCTAGAAATACTTTTACCAAATTCTACACGTCAACTGGAACTAATTGAAATTTTTTATCGGAAAAGCATCAAACAAATCCTATCTATCCCCACTAACACAACAGACATGGCTGTGTATATACTGTCGGGTACGGTTCCAGTAATTAGTAAAATCCATATACTAGCTTTGGGAACTTTTGCAAACATTTCAAGACAAGAGAACTGTATAGAAAGACACGTCGCAGAAAGACTAATCCTCATCTCATCAGCCGTAAAGGACAGTTGGTTCACAAAAATCAGATCTTTATTAATTAAATACAGCCTACCATCAATCTTTAACATTTTAGATGAACCACCTCCAAAATTAAAATGGAAGAACTCTATCAGGAAAGAGATTGACACCTTCTGGGTTGTACATGTGATTACCATGTCTGTCTACTACAAGAGTATTTCATTTATTTCTACATCCAATTTTAAAACTGGTCATCTACACAATGCTCTAGCAAGTGTCCAGACTTCTGCAAAAGACATCCAGCGTCTCCCCATCAAACTTAGACTCCTTACTGGTACATACATTCTCCAATGTAATAGAGCAGCTTTCAATCAAGTTGACATCAACCCAACATGTCTCTTATGCGAGGAGGACGCTGAAACATTAGACCATTTCATTCATTCATGTCCTGCTTTAGCTTCTGCTAGAAACTATCACCTGCTTGAACTTTCAAATATTATCAATAAAAGCGAGCTCTGTCCGAAATGTAGAATATTAGAAAAACTAGAAATTAATACACAACTAATATTGGATGCTAGTGCCTTGCTCTGTAACTGTCAATGTAAATGTGGATGTACAGATTTTCTTTATCTTGTAGAATACATAAGTAGAAAACTTTGCTTTGCTTTGCACATTAGACGTAATACAATATTATTAACATTGCCGGTGAATAAAAAGAAAGGATTGCTTGCAACCACTCAGTCAAAGGCGTGAATATTTAAAATCTAAATTATCTTTTGTTTTAGATTTTAATAGTGTAATAAACATTTAGTGGGTGTTAAATACACCATATCCTACTCTGTAACCAGAGGTGTGCCTTTGAAAGGCAGGATCTTCATACAAGACAAGACAAGACAAGACAACCCGACCAAAGAGCAGACAACAGCCTAAGACCACCAATGGGTCTTCAAATGTATTAAACAAGATCTCTGCTGTGTTGTCATACCTACACTTGTACACAAAACTAAAAGTTTTACAGCAAAATAACCGTTTATTCAATGACAGATTTCATGACACGTGTTGTTGTGAAGAACTTTATCGGTCCGCTCAACACATTTTTTTGAAGTAAAATAAACGCAACATTTTTAAAGGGTCAAAACTGAAAGACATAAACGGGACAGTAATATCAGTTAACGTCCAATCATTTCTGATTTGCAACCCTAGTTATAATCAATAAACTAAAACATTGATTATTAATCGATAAAAATAACTTAATTTGGTGAGTTTGGTGCGTTTTCCTGGATTTACCATCATCTGGAAAGCTAAAACCATAATTTTGAAAACATAAACTATATCATTCGAGTCATTCCTTGTCGAACCTACTGAACGAATGGTACCTACCGGAAGTAAGTCTAACAGCAGTACCACTCATTAGGTCAAGGTTTGGTTACTATGTTGATTGCATCTATCCCATTACAGTCAGGATTCTACTTCGTCAAAATTATCTCCCCATTACGCCACCCAATTTTTATAATCGTGAAATGCAAGCCATTGTAGTGATGTCGCGCTGTCTATTTAGCTCTTGAAAACCGATAAATTTATCCACATAGCATCGTTACGATCCTTATATGCCAGTTGTATTTTAAAAGACAAATGTATATACTAGCTATTTAGCACCTGTCCATTTAATGTACTTTTATGCATTTGGTCAATTTAAAACTATTGTCTGATCGGTTGTCAGGGGGAATTTTCGAAAGTTCAAAAATATTTAAAAATATTCTAATTTAATGTTTCGTGGAAGGGCAGACTAAAACTTTTTAGAGGTTGAAGACTAAAATTACCCTTGATAACACACACACAAAATGAAGTTTTTTTTTTTAAGTTATGCATTTTTAAGATCCACTTGAAAAATCTATCGTCAAGTACTTTTAGTAAAAAAATATTATTCGAACACACCTACTCTGTTGTTATGACTCATTAGAAAAGTATTTCACTTGACCCATATATTTCATGTTTTAGTATTGTAAATTTTTGATGTTATATCAACCTACAGCCTAAATGTATAAAAATAATAGAATCTGAAGCGAGATGATGTATCCCATATTTTTCTTGTAAACGTTTTCAAGACAGAATAGTAAACTCAAACACGCCTAAACATAAATAGGTGTACTCGACTTTCTCTTTTCGATGAAGTTATTGTCAATTTGGGGGATTTTTTCCCAAAAAACTGTGGACGGGGGCAGAGATGAAAATTAATGCTTTAAAAAGATCAATTTATTATCTGTCTTTCACATTTTTTTCGGCGGAATTTATGCTTATGCACAAAAAAGATCCACATATTTGCAACTACCACAATCGATTGTTTTGTGAAAATTTGTCTATAATTTTAAAGTTTACAAATATCTCGAAGCCCCATACCATAATTTAAGTGAAAACACATAAGATGGGGGGGGGGGGGGGGGGGGGGGGTTGAGTTTTGAGTAAAAAAAAAGACAGGATGAGACACTTGCAGAAAAAAAAGTCAGGATGACAATTTAGGTAAAAAAAAGTCAGAATAAACTTTAAAAAAAAAAATGCAGGACCGAATAGAGTGAAAAATAAAAAAGGCAGGACAGAGATTACAACTAAAAAAAAATGCAGGACACAATTTTTCATCCTAGCCCCCCCCCCTAAAAATCAAATGGCAGCTTCCTAACAAAGAGTTCCATTTCTTTTGTTAAATTTCAACTGGGTTTCCGCCTAATTAAAATTGAAAATAAGTATACTGCAGATAGTTAGTCTGCTTTTTGTTTTGACTTGCATCTAAAAGTTGACAGTAGTGTCTGCTGGGAACAAAACTTCGAATTTACGACCAAATACATTTTTTTGTAGATCATTTCAATTTTCCATTTGTGAGCTTTCCAAATCTGTATGCAGTAACATGCCAGAAGCTCTTGTATATGGTTAACATTGCCAATCTATGTGCAGTAACAGCTCTTGTCTATTGTTTACATTGCCAATCTACGTGCATTAACATGCCAGAAGCTCTTCTACTATGTTAACATTGCCAATCTACGTGCATTAACATGCAAGAAGCTCTTGTCTATGGTAAACATTGCCAATCTATGTGCAGTAACATTTATTCATAATATTTCGTTCATGACAGAAGTATCCCCCAAGTATCTTATAATGTATTTACAGAAAACGTTTTGTCAGTGTTATGTTCAAGACTGCATTTTGTCAATATATATAACGTTGATAAGCTAAATAAATAACAATGTGTTTGCTTTATCAAACGTGTACAAAATTACAATTTGTACACAACATAAATATCTCTTAGTTGATAAATATTCCCGTGCTTATTCATGATTTCCGTGGTAATGGGTTGTTGCTAATAAAGAAGCTTTTGAACCGACATTTCTTAATGGTAAAGTTAAATTATTTGATTTAACAACGAGGTATAACGCCAGATGGTGATTCAGCAGAAAAACACAATGTAAAAGGTGATACAATAAAAAAATCCAAATTGCAATTACATTATTTATGCTGATATATGTGTGTATTTATTTTCATGATTAAACTGTCTGTTGACACCTATATGTGCCACTAGTGGAAGATTTTTATGTTATTGAGTTGCTGATGTCTCGTTGGCGTATACCTCGCATTACCTTGTGTTCCATTGTAAAAGTGTTTAATTCTGATATAAACCATCAGATTTGCCACGAAAAGTATTTCTGAGATAAAAAATCAGTTGCGCCTAAACACATCTTTCTAAAATAAACCAACAGGTGCACCCCAACACGTGGTTCTGAAAATAAACCAACAGGTGCACCCCAACACGTGGTTCTGAAAATAAACCATTAGGTAAGCCAAGACAAATATTTCGGAAATAACCATTGAGCACCTCACCATGTTTCTGAAATAAACCATCAGTTCCACCACGACAAGTTTTTTAAACAAAACGACCAGGTGAGTCACGACAAATGTTTCTGAAGTCAACCATCAGTTCCACCACGACCCGTGTTTTTTAACAAATATATAAGGTGAGTCGCGAAAAAGGTTTCTGAAAAGACCATCAGTTGCGCGCTACGTCGTGTTTCTGAAATAAATCATTAGGTGCAAAACGAAAAGTGTTTCTGAAATAACCATCAGTTTCACCACGACAAGTATTTCTGAACAAGACCACCAGGGGAGCCGCGAAAAATGTTTTTGAAATAAATCATTAGGTACAAAACGACACGTGTCTCTTAAATAAACCATCAGTTGCACCACTACACGTGTTTCTGAACAAAACCCATTAGGTCCGCCACAACAAAGTTCTCTGTAATGACCATTAGGTCCGCCACAACAAAGTTCTCTTTAATGACCATTATGTCCGCCACAACAAAATTCTCTGTAATGACAGGCGCGCCATGACAAATGTTTCAACGTCTTCCAATAAAGTAAAAAAAAAACATCATTTGCACCACGACACGTTTTCGGAACGAAACCAACTAGCAACAACAAATGTTTCACAACGCGTATTTTGAAAAAAAACTGCCAAGGTGCTCCAGAGTCTTCAGATTCGGGAAGCAAAATACTTAAAAACTTAAAAGACATCAAAATGATAGAAGGCATATGATTCAATGATGGCGGAAGATGCTCTAATCTTTGAATTGTTACCCCAAAATATGAATTAGACTTTACAAATAGTAGCACTGACTTTCAAAATCCAATTTTCCGAAAAGAGGGCAAATCATGATTATACCACCGAAACTTAGAGAGTTGCTTTAAATCCCTACTACACCGCTTATGATTGGATTTACGGTAAATCTACAGTCATGTTTAATTTACAGAAAAGATCGCGTTTCTATAGTAAGACATAGGACATTGCTTTCATTTTCTTGAAATAAGCATGTAAATTGTAGACACAAAAGACTGGAACAGTGTAACGTACTTGGTATGTGGCACTTCTACATATTCTGATCAAATGAATATTGATGTAGGGTGGTCTTTAAATTGGTTTGGATTGAATGTGATTGTGTTTTCAATCTAATAGTTTTAAAAACTTTAATGACATTATACTAATGAAATGATTACAGCAGTCGTTTTTTGTTAGCTCATCTAACCCAAATGTCCAAGTGAACTTTTCTTATTACTTGGCGTCCGTCGTCCGTCGTCGTCCGTTTACTTTTACAAAAATCTTTTCCATTGAAACTATTGGGTCAAAGTCAACCAAACTTGGTCGACATGGCAAATAGAACATAGAATTTATCTTGAAAACCGCTATAAATAGAGAAAATCTGACAGACCTGAAATTTTGAGAATGTTAAAATCTATCATTTACATCAAAACTGTCAGACGACTAATTATAGGAGTTATTACCCTTTGATGCCGAAATTTACTATTTTTTTTTCATTGTTGCGTAATTTATCTTGAAAACTAGAATTAGATAGATAGACACTTTAAATAGTAAAAGTGATCAGCAAGGCAAATTGAGTATCTACAAATAAGACCAATTTTGTTGAAATCCTTAGTAGACTCTTATCGCCCCCTTTATTGACTGCCCTTAAATTACGATTATTTTACCTTTTTGTGTTTTGGGCAAAAGCTAAAAGAGATAGATAGAAACTGTAAACAGAAAAACTATCAGCAAAACAAGATAAAATAAAATATTTTTGTCGTGAATTCTATTCTAGTTTACAATGTTGGAGTGTGTACATTGTGGAAGATGTACATAGACCTAGGTTAGCGACACATCCATTGAGTTTGGTCTTATGTGACGTTTAAACTGTTTTATTGCTATGAAACTGTTCGATTATTTTAAATGTGTATGTTTTGATTTATTGTGACAGTTTTATTAACGAGAATTACCACCAAGGGCTTCGAGTGGCTCTCCTGAATGTGTCTTTTGGAAAATTCAATTTTTAAAGATTGGAATACAAATACTTCAGTTAATTTTGATAAAACATGCCTCCAAAAATTAATTTAAATCACGATAGAGGACTTTTTCACGCACGGAGTCGAACTTGAAGAAAATATTCTACCAATAAGTACTAATGAAAGTAAATATTCTACCAATAAGTTCTAATAAAAGTAAATATTCTACCAATAAGTACTAATAACAGTAACGATTCTATACAGAACCTGATAATAAACGTTTCTAAAAAAACATTTTTCAGCTGTGATATGAAGTGCAAAAACATAACAAAAAACAAGAAACAATTGATAATAGACGGCATCAGATATATTCATTACTTCTCCATTTGATATGAGTATAATTTGCCCGTCTTGGTGTTAGCAATGATGAAGTCCTAGCACGGAATTCTGTTCCTTCTACCTCCAGGTGCCCGTTAAGTCCGTGTCTAAGTGGTGGTGAATGTCTGTAAGATTCGTCCAGTGAATAGTTACTACCACTTAAACTACTAATGTCGGAGTTAGAACTTTGAAATTCGTACATACATCTTAATTGCACAATTGTTGAGCGAAGGTCTATGAATTGTTTCATGAGGGATCGGTCTTGTTCCTTCATCTGAAGCTGAAATATAAAACAGAAGGAGCATGCATTCTCTATGTTGTTTCTCATCTGAAGCTGAAGTATAAAACTGGGGAAAAAAACATTAGTGATCGATCTTATCTATTCTTCTGATGTTAAAGTATAAAATAGAAAGAAAAAAAAAAAACCACGAGTGGTAGGCCTTGATCCTTTAACTGATGCTAAGTGTAAAATAGAAGAAACATTTTAGTGATCAGCCTTGTTTCGTCATCTGTAGATCTCTGTAGCTAAGTGTAAGGTAGAAGAATTATTTTAGTGATCGATCTTGTTTCTTCATCTGAAGCTAAGTGTAAAATATAGAAGACACATTTAAGTGATCGGTCTTGTTTCTTCATTTAAAGCTTAATGTAAAATAAGAGAAACATTTTAGTTATCGGTCTTTTTTCTTCATCTGAAGCTAAGTGTAAAATAGAAGACTAATTTTAGTGATCGCTCTTGCTCTTCATCTGAAGTTTAAAATAAAAGCAACGATATTAAGTTCTTTGCTGATGGACAAACTGACGAAATATTACAAATGGTGGAAAATATTGATTCTTACTTATCTAATTGTTTTTCAATAGAAAATCAATGTAGTTATGTATTGCTTTGAAATGAATCATTAGAAAACACTTTTCTGTAAAGGGAGTTTTCAATGGACCGAAGTCTGTACTCGAAGTAATGTATCAACATACATTTTAACTGACTTTTAATAGGTTTTAAGAGCACTTCAGTTATAACAATAACGAAAATTGAATGTATGACCATTTTATTTTGTCTGGCGATTTATTGAATTAAAAAAAGTCCATTAATAGGTGATGTCAAATCTTGGATCGTGTGAAATTCGAAATAATATTCCAACTTTATTGTGCTTTAAGTATAAGACAGGATAAAAACACTCCGTTTCGTTTTACGTATAAACCTATTCATAAAGCCGAATGTTTACATCAATATTTTAACATTCAGAAACCTTTGCATCATAAATTTGTTATATGATATGGATATCTATTCCAAATAAATACTTTAAATAACTTTCACAAAGTCAACACGACATTTTTATATTAAATACTGCATATCATATTTCTTGTTTCTGAATGAACATGTTTTTCTTCTCCTACTGTCATAATGAAGATGTGAACTCAGACAAACTTGAGAATTACATATAAAATCTGATCAGCTCATATGTCTCTCTGTAGAATATTATAGACAAATCACATATAAAGAAATAAAATGATTAATTCAGGTGTTTTTTGTGAAAAAGACATGCATAAGGTATCCCAAACAGACAATACCGAGGGGGCGAATAAAACCGAACACATAACATCATGGTAATCTAAAATAATTATGAGTACAGTTAACAAATTATATCCCTGCTTCCCATTTGTATAGATCTGGCTAAGTTCGGGAAACCTCGAAAAGTAAAACAGGGTGTGCCATTTATACTAAAGATTAAAATAAGATCATTGAAAACCAGACTGGTTTACTACATGTAGGAGTTGCGGCTGCACAGCACTCCGAATAATAAACCAACGAACGGACAGACGGACAAATAAACAGACGAAGAAGTTATAATACTCAAACTTTTGAAAAACAGGGATATAAAAAAGACGATAAGAAAAACAAGAAAAACAAACAATAATACACATAAAATTATAAAGAAAATCAACGATCGAGCCTGTAACAGTTAAGAACGAGGATTCAGTCTAGCTATGCTATGTAGTACGCGATCCCTATGTTCATATTGCTATGGTGAATGCTTTCGAATATCTAGGGTAGGTAGGCAAGCTATCTCATGTCATGTGAACGGTTCCTTACATGTTTGGGTGATGTATTCTATATACATTGTAGACTTTTTGTTTGTTTACACTTTGTTTTACAACTATATATCTACTTGTTTGTAAAAATACGTTATGGGGCACACATTCGGTACTCCTCGGCATATCCCTACGGCAAAGTTCCGAACCGGACCTAGCTCATTTCAAAGGTATTGACACAGGCTATTCGCCACTTTAATTTTTTTCTGGGATCCGGGCCCGTCTGGCCATCACAGGGGTTCAAAGTTACCCCATAACGTATTTTCAATACAAACCACACATTCGGTACTCCTCTGCATATCCCTACGGCAAAGTTCCGAACCAGACCTAGATCATTTCAAAGGTATTGCCCCAGTCTATTCGACACTTAAATATTTTTCTGGGATCCGGGCCCGTCTGTCCACCACAGTTTTAGTTATATGTCAATTATTATGGCACATTTGATAAGGAAATTTTCAGTTTTAGATTAATAAATTAGTATAGAAAATACTTGTTCACATTCAAAAAAAGATTAACATTACATGTATATGGAATTGTTTTCATTTTATATATACAGAAATTGATTTTGAAAATGGTTTCAATTGAAATACTGGATATTTGAGGATTCCGAGTGTATGGAAAGCTTGTATGTAATTTTTCTCTCATACATTGCATCTTTTTTTATTTAGTTCATGGAATATATATATCACGATTTCTCATATCTTACTTAAATCCATTATTAACAATATTAGTTGTTCTTTGATTTTTTTATTTTCTATTCCTACATTGTTTCTGTACCTCTTAATCATAAGGAATCAAAAAACGAGAAAAAGAACGAAAAAAATTTTTTTATTAAACAAACAGTGTCCTCCGAAAAAAAGTGGCTGTTATCATTATTGGTATTTAAAACGGACTGAAATCTTTTGAGAATCACCACAAGCCGTGAAATTGTCGAATTCCGCTGTTAAATTATATTTAACTGATATTTTGAGATATTTGGAACGTTTGAGTCTTATATAGTTTTTTGGTTTTTAGACATATCATCAAAATTGGAAAAAAAGTGTCTGCTTAATTGGCTGCTAAAAATGGCTGCCAGCTTGAGTCTGGTACTTATTTGTTAGAGATGTTCCATTGATTATATACAATTGACAAACGGGTTGTCAGTATAATCCGTGAAAGCAACCCAACGCCACAATAAAACCAGTAAACACATGTTGAGATTAACATGTGATATTCAACAATAGACAAAGACTATACAGTCATGATGCCAAGCTCAAAAAAGCCCAAAGTATAATAAGCCGTGCATAAATTTAACATGTTGCAGAGATCTGTCCTTTAAATTTTAATCATGGTATATGTCCTGCTGCGGGTTCGTTTGTTATTTCCTCTTTAGATTTAGGAGTTGTTTCATCTGTAGCGAGTCTGTCTAAGAGTTCCCCTTAGAAATTGCATAAAGTTAAAAATACATAATTATCAAAAGTCACAATCTATTCAATTCGATTTTCAAATATTAGAAAGAATAAATAGAAAGACAACAATTTACATATGTATTAATTCATAAATTTGAAATTACTTAATATGCAAGTAAATTCGTATAATTATGGTGTGACGGGTTATTTCCGATTTGCAAGTAAATTACACTTTCACCATTTTAACTTTAAAATGTGTTCTTTTTAACCAAAACCAATTGGCACTTACTTACAACTTCTCGTCCAATCAAATTGCTTATATTTGCCTTCTAATTTTCATAGTACATACTTTTCCTGTGTACTAAGTAACTACGCATGAATGACCACAAGTGTAAGATTTCATTGTATGGTAATCAAGATATTTAAAACAAAAATTGCCACTGGCTATTTTGAAATAAAATGCTGTGTTCCAAATTAAATTAAATAGTTTGTAATTAGTTTTCACATTGATTTTAAAATATCCTGCTATTAAAATCTTTGGATCTAAAAAATGTTTTTGACAATTGCAAATGTTATCATTTAAATAAAGGGTAATACATATGGTTCTTTATACCTTGATTAGAGTACAACGATATCTTAAAATTATGATAATGTATCATCCATGCAATTACTTTGTACACAGAAAAGTGTGTACTATGAAACCTTGTGAAGGAAAATTAAAGCAACTTGGTGATAATTTTTTAAACTTTCTTAAGGAAAGTGATCTATTTCGTCATGAATTGATTGATTTATTGATTATTGGTTGCTTAATGTCCAGTGGCAAATATTTCATGCATGTTCAGGACGATGTCATGAATTGAAAAACTGTGATTATGTCTGAAGATAATGTGCAAGCTATATATATATATATATAAACATATTCTGATAAATCTTTTAGTTTTTACTTTGAACTAATAAAAAAAAACACAAAACCTAATATCTCTGATCTATTTGTAGTTGCTTTTTAATGCCTATCTGCTAGACTATATCTACGGGGACAAACTATCTATATGTTTCAAATTTATTATAGCTTTAGTTTTACTGTGAAATTAAAAAAATGTTTTCAAAACATGTAAAGCTTCCACTGCAATTTAATTATTGCCTGCTTTTGGTCAATTTATTTTGTCATCTTACCTTGTAAGAAGAACATGTATAGTAAAACACCGCTTTATATCAGTATACATACTTACACCAGCAGCTACCATCTTTTCATTCTGGAGTGAAGGGCCTTTTGAAATCACATATTTTACAATGATACTAGTGAGTAGATTTACAAAACTCGTTAATGAGCTCCGTTTTACAAACACCTGTGATACAAATAGTCAGCCAAAATAAACTATCAATAGACCAATTAAAAGATTACTCGAGTTGTAAATATGTGCTAAATTGGATAGTCTATGGAAAGGTATATACTATGAAATTAAGAGCTCGG